GGGCCCGGAAGGGGGAACTTAGCCAGATCCGGGTCTTTTTCGTAGGTTAACGGCTTCGGAAGAGGCGGTAGGTCTTTCGCGCGGGGCTGAATCTTCACGAAATTGTATGCCGGGCCCAAGACCGCCTCCATTTGGGTGTCGGTGAAGGTATTTTTAGGCTTGTTCGGGTCTCTGACATGAGGGCGCCAAAGGCGCGAGTCTTGAAGTTTAGGATCGTTAACTATAGGACCGCTGGACTGCTCGCCCCCTGTGGCACCGGATGGATGAATCACAATTTCGTCTTGTCTGCTACATTCGAGTGGCCGTTCTCCCGGAGGCAGCGACCTTAGTATGTCGATTGAGCTGCTACGGTGGGTTCCAGACTGGACGTCAGACGAGGGATTGTTGGCCTGGTCCGGGGCGTCAGCGTCCTTGAACCTGATCTTCTTTTTTTCGTCGGGAGGATCCATCTGTTGACGTCTGAGAAAGGAGCTGAGAAAGAAGGAAGGGAGATGTCCAAAGCTATGGACGGAATAAAACAATTGTGCGCTAGCGTTTTTGCTTACCTTACCTGATCGGCCAACTTTCGAAAACGGTAAGCGCAAGGCAGATGCACGCCTTCTGTCACGCCGCCCCTCCAACTCCCCAAATCCTTGCAGCATCATCTTTTCTCGATCCTGCCTCGCTTACGTCGCGCGGGCTATCCCCTCTCCAACTTCTCACGCGCGTCGGATCGCCATGGACCCACGCAAAGGCAAATTCGCCGCCGGCGACGGCAAGAACCTCAAGCACGCTCGGTCTCACAGCGACGATTCCGACGCAGACGCCCCTCCCATGGGTTCTATCGGCGAACTAGTCAGTCAACTGGAAAGGTTAGTATCTCTCGCCCCATTCTATGGATCCACCACTCACTATCGCAGCGCTGCGCCCGCCGATCGTCGAGTGCTCAACCTGGTATCTCGCACTCCTGCAACATCTGGCTCCACCCATGCCGCCACGCGCGCCGACGTTTCTTTCCGCCAGCCCGGTGAACCAGCTAGCCACCAGAGGGCTACATCTAGCAGCGGGATCATGCTCAATACAGCCA